GAGTAGCTGGGATTACAGGCACGCGCCACCATGCCCAGCTAATTTTTTGTATTTTTAGTAGAGACGGGGTTTCACCATGTTGACCAGGATGGTCTCCATATCTTGACCTCGTGATCCACCAGCCTCGGCCTCCCAAAGTGCTGGGATTACAGGCATGAGCCACCGCGCCCAGCCTAAGACCTCATCTTAAAAAAAAATGTATAACTGATTGTATTTTTTTTTTCCTTTGTAGACAACAAGGGAGGTGTCACAGTTTTCCATTTAGATCAGCAACTTCAAGTTCTTACCATGGAAAATTCCGAGAAGACTGAAGTGGTTCTCCTTGCTTGTGGTTCCTTCAATCCCATCACCAACATGCACCTCAGGTTGTTTGAGCTGGCCAAGGACTACTTGAATGGAACAGGTAGGAGCAGTAACCAAAAGTGGCTTAAGATGAGGGAAGCAGTATGCCTGGGTCTGTTTCAGAATACACATTTGATCGACTGGGCACAAATATGCTGTCCTGCTCTCTTGTACAGTGACTTCTTAGCCAAGAAAGAGGGTGAAGTATGAGGGTAGAATTGAGCATCTGGCTATGGCCTGTAGAATAGAAAGTATAGTCGAGTACAGTGGCTCACACCTGTAATCTCAGTGCTTCGGGAGGCTGAGGTGGAGGATCACTTGAGGACAGGAATTTGAGACCAACCTGGGAAACAGAGACAGTCCCAATCTCTACAAAAAATTAGTCAGATATCGTGGCATGTGCCTGTGGTCCCAGCTACTCGGGAGACTAAAGAAGGAGGATTACTTGAGTCTGGGAGGTGAAGGCTGCAGTGACCATGATCACACATTTGCTCACCAGCCTGGGCATCAGAGCAAGACCCTGACCACCCTCCCCCTCCAAAAAATGGAATTTGTTTCTGTCATCCATGTGCTTAAGCTCCTTCAGAGTTTCCCATTACTTAAGGCAAAAAGTGAAAGCTTGTACTTAGCATACATAAAACCTCCAGGATCAGGTATAGCCTTTTAAAATTTTTCATAAACAATGCATGAATAGACTGCGGGGGGCATGGTGACTCACACCTGTAATCCCAGCGCTTCGGGAGGCAGAGAGGGGCAGATTACCTGAGGTGAGGAGTTTGAGATCAGCCTGGCCAATGTGGCAAAACCCCGCCTCTACAGAGTCTTGCTCTGTTGCCCAGGCTGGAATGCAGTGGCATGGTCCGGACTCACTGCAACCTCCACCTTCCAGGTTCAAGTGATTCTCTTGCCTCAGCCTCTCGAATAACTGGGATTACAGGTGTGCACCACCACACCCGGCCTATTTTTGTACTTTTAATAGAAATGGGGTTTCACCATGTTGGCCAGGCTGGTCTCGAACTCCTGTTCTCAAGCAATCTTCCCACTTTGGCCTCCCAAAGTGCTGGAATTACAGGCATGAACCACCATGGCATGACATAATATAACATGTTTAATGTGTATCCTTCCAGTCTTCTTTGTATGAATTTATATGCAAACATTTGAGTGTATAGACAGATTTTTTTTGTTCGTTTGTTTGAAATGGTTCTCACTCTGTCACCCTGGCTGGACAGGCTGGAGTGCAGTAGTATGTTCACAGCTCACTGCAGCCTTGACCTCCTGGGCTTAAGTGAGCCTCCTGCCTAAGCCTCCTGAGTAGCTGTGACTACAGGCATGCCACCACATCTGGCTAATTTTTTTCTTTTTTGTAGAAACTGGGTCTCACTGTTTTGCCCATGATGGTGTTAAGCTCCTGGGCTCAAGTGATTCCCCTGCCTCGGTCTCCCAAAGTACTGGGATTATAGGTGCGAGCCACTACACCTGTCCTAGATTTTTTGTTACATAAATGATCATATAATATGCTGATAGGTAGATGGATGGATGGATGCTAAAGCTCACTAATAATTTTAATAACCAGGGAACTAACTTAAAAAGTGATATATGTTTTACCTATCACATTGAGAAATGGGCTTTTGCATACACTTTAGGTGGACAATACAAATTAAGGCTTTTGGCCGGGCGTAGTGGCTCACGCCTGTAATCCAAGCACTTTGGAGGCCAAGGCGAACGGATCACCTGAGGTCGGGAATTCAAGACCATCAAGACTAGCCTGACCAACATGGTGAAACCCTGTGTTTAAAAACAAAAAACAAAAAAAACAAATTAAGGCTTTTTACAAAGTAATTTGGCAATATCAATAGAAATTTAACCGTATAGGGGAATGAGGCGAGGTACAGAGTTTCAGTTGGGGAAGATGAAAACATTCTAGGGATGAGAGCGATGGTTGCACAACAGTGTGCTTGCACTTACTATCATAGAACTGTATACTTAAGTGGTTAAAATGGGAAATTTTTGTGTTATTTATATTTTACCATAATTTCAGTCAATTGATCAATCTGCTAATAAGCTGGAATCCTCAAAGAAAGAGAATTAGTGATTATAAAACAATATTGGCCAGGCATGGTGACCCACACCTGTAGTCCCAGCACTTTGGGAGGCCGAGGCAGGCAGATCACTTGAGGTCAGGAGTTCGAGACCAGCTTGGCTAACATAGTGAAACCCCATCTCTACTAAAAATAACAAAAATTAGCCAGGCATTGTGGCACACATCTGTAACCCAGCTACTTGGGAGGCTGAGTCAGGAGAATTGGTTGAACCTGGGAGGCGGAGGTTGCAGTGAGCTGTCATGTCACTGCACTCTAGCCTGGGCATCAAGAGCAAGTCTCTGTCTCAAAAAACAAAAACAAAAACAAAAACATAATATTGATCATAATATTTCCTGTGCATAAAATCTAATTTGTTATACCTAATGCGAAACCTAACTCTTCATCCAGGAAGATACAGAGTTGTCAAAGGCATCATCTCTCCTGTTGGTGATGCCTATAAGAAGAAAGGACTCATTCCTGCCCATCACCGGGTCATCATGGCTGAACTTGCCACCAAGAATTCCAAATGGGTGGAAGTTGATACATGGGAAAGTCTTCAGAAGGAGTGGAAAGAGACTCTTAAGGTGCTAAGGTACTCATAGTGGAATCAGCTTTGTCAGTTCTGTGTTAATGGCTAGGCAGCTTGTTTTTACCATGTTTCCATGTTGCTTACATCTGTGAACATACAAAAATGTGACAGATTTGCAAAACTGTCACATATGTTATAAGCCATTCCTGTGGAAGGTTACTATAAGACTGTAGAGCACAGTACCAGAGGATGGGTATTCCTTAGCCCCTCTGTGTCTTTCATTATGTTTTAAGATGTTTGTGGCCGGGTGTGGTGGCTCACGCCTGTATTCCCAGCCCTTTGGAAGACAGAGGCGGTTGGATCACTTGAGGTCAGGAGTTCGAGACCAGCCTGGCCAACATGGTGAAAACCCATCTCTACTAAAAATACAAAAATTAGCTGGGCATGGTGTTGTGTGCCTGTAATCTCAGCTACCTGGGAGGCTGAGGCAGGAGAATCGCTTGAACCCCGGGGGGCAGAGGTTACATTGCATGCTTGCTACTATGTGTTATCACTATTAGAAAATAGAGGAAGCTGGCCTGGCCTTCTGTGCCCCAAATGAGAGAGGCAAAATTGCAGGAAAATGTTATGATTATCAGTCTTCCTAAGTATAAAAGTGACAGGCAGCCGGGCATGGTGGCTCACACCTGTAATCCCAGCACTTTGGGAGGCTGAGGGAGGTGGATAACGAGGTCAAGAGATCGAGACCATCCTGGTCAACATGGGGAAACCCCGTCTCTACTAAAAATACAAAAAATTAGCTGGACATGGTGGCACATGCCTGTAATCCCAGCTACTCAGGAGGCTGAGGCAGGAGAATTGCCTGAACCCAGGAGGCAGAGGTTGCGGTGAGCCGAGATCGCGC